GGGAGGAGACTGCTGGCTGCGTTGCTGTCCATGGAGATTGGCAGATCCCCTACCAGCCTCCTCCGCACTAACCTCTGTCCTGCCTAGGGTTGGAGTGTTGGTGGAAGGGAGGCGTAAATACCCCAAAATAAAGGAGAGTTTTAAACACGAGAGCTACAGCGCAGTCCAGCATTCCTGTTGATTTACTCTGAATTTATTCTGGCAAATTTTCATACTCAAGTCTTAATTAAACGTGATGCCAATTTGTCCACTATTTCATTATTTTCAGACATTTTGTCTGTTTTGCCTGTTTGAGCTATATAAAATGTAATGTCTGTGCTAAGTTTTTGCTTTTCCATTCATGCGTCCCATAACCAGATATCTTTGTCATTTATCTGCCAATTAATGGTTTTGCATTTTGGTGACCATATAGTTATACCATAAATTGCATGCACCATGAATTGGAGAAGATAGAGATTTTCCTTTTGCTTTCCTAGTTTCCTGTTTCTTACAGCCAATAGTGTTGCTCTGATTCTGGTTCCTTCCTCAGGGTTGACCATCTATAGGCTGCCATTTTCCATTAGTTTTGGTTCCATCTGTGGTTGATGACTCATTAATAATGTGTGCATTAGCAAAATGTTGTGACTATTCTGTTGGTCCCCGCAGTTCAATAGGTGCCCCCTTTTCAGGAGGAGTGAGCAGCCTAGGAATGAGGATTACAGGCAGCTGAGCTGTTTCCTCCGTGAGGGAAGGCACGGGCCCCTTTGCTCCGCATCCTGGTCACTGAGGGATTCAGATGGGTAGCAGTTCCTCTGTGATACCGATCTTTAAATAGCTAAGCCTTCGAAGGACACTGCCTCTGAACAGATCCGTCCATCACTGTAAGGAGCACCCTTTTGACCACAGGAAAGTGTTTGCAGTAGAAGCCAACAGGCAAATGTTTGTGGACTACTTCTTGCTTTATGATGAGTTCCCATTGCCAACTCACCAATAAATATGATACCCATATTATGGGTACCATTCGGTTTAGTGTTGGTCAGGGTTGCATGCATGGAGATGAAATGAGAAGGCTTTCTAGTAACCCTGGAGAGGGTTTTGTTGTTGTCTTTGTTTTTTTTTTTTAGAGTAACAAATGTGTTTTTAATTGATTTCAGGTAAAAACTACACAGAGAGGAAGATCAATTATTAATTCTGGCCTTAATTTATCAGAGGCATACTATCAATAATAGAAAAAAATTAATTTTCATAGGTCATGTGTGCGTCTGGCAACCAAATCTGGTCTTTTATGTTCCATATTTTTTTCTTTAGCTTTTCTACTTTTCCACATAGCTTTTGTGGTATTTTTCTTGGATGTCCCTTTCAGCTTATTTCACGAATCCCACTCAGCCTTGCCTTTGAGATTCACTAGCCCAGGCTCTGGATTTATATCACTCATGGTGGCTTCTCTGAAGTGACGATAGATGAACAGCATTTCTTCCTTGCTTGGCTGAGTCCCGAGGTGCTTCACCTCCTCAGCAGCTTTGTCAAATTCAACCTGAGACACACTGGCCAGGTGACCTGGATCCCAAAAGCACAGGAGGAGGCTCAGAGCTGGCAGCAGTGAGGGCTGCAGGGGAAAGTTTTGTCTTTAAAAACTCAGTTATGTTACGCAAACATGTTTCTGTTTTGATCCCAGGTGCGGGGTATGTACTGATTCAGCTTGTCCACAGCAGCAAACTGTGCCTCCTGCAGGCTCTGAGAGGGGTGCTTTGCAGCTGCGGATAGAGAGCTTCTTGCAGCTGAGACAAGCAGAGGAAACCCTGTCTCAAAAAAACAAAAAACAAAAAAAGAAGGTTATATAAAATTGTAGTCCTTGATGAAAATAAAATTATTTTATGGTGATAATTGAAACAAAAATTTAAAAGGTCTAAGTGTCCTTTGTCATTGAATTTTAACAAAGAACATATTTTCCTTTTTATTTTCCCCCAAATTCTTTCCTTTTTTGAAGACTTTACCTTTCATGCACATTTACAAAGTATCTTTACAGAGTGCCTGGGCACCCTTGCCCCCTTCCACACTGCTTTCAGACTGCTGCTCAAGTGCTCGCTGGGGCTGGCCTTGGGGTTCTTGTTTTTTTTAATTCTTTATTAATTACACTTTATTCACTTTGTATCCCCCCTGTGGTTCCCTCCCTCCTCCCATCCCAATCCCTCCCTTCCTCCACCCTCTGCATGCATGCCCCTCCCCAAGTCCACTGATAGGGGAGGATTTCTTTTCCTTCCTTCTGATCCTAGTCAGTTAGGTCTCATCAGGAGTGACTGCAGTGTCTTCTTCTGTGGCCTGGTAATGCTGCTTCCCCCTCAGGGGGAGGTGATCAAAGAGCAGGCCAATCAGTTCAAGTCAGAGGCAGAACTGCCCTGGGCTACTTAAAGAGGCTGTGCCCTGAAGCCCTGGTTCCCCAAGCTCCCACCAAGTTGCTGACTTCAGCTGCTCTGCTTGTCTCAGCTGCGAAAGCTCCTCCCTTTCGGCTGCTAGGGCTTTCCGGAGTCTGGAACTCTTGGCCTAAAGCCTGAATCCATTGTCCTAATCTTGGATTTTCGTGCCCTCATGTTGGACACGGATTAAAACAGGACTTTCTTTGGACCACCAGCTCCCACAATGACACACAGACTTTTTATTAATTATGGAAGTTTAACCTTAGCTTCAGCTTGTCCCCAACTTGCTCTTATCCTTTTTTTAAAATATTTATTTATTTTATTATGTATACAGTGTTCTTTTTGCATGTACACCTGCACGCTAGAAGAGGGCACGAGATTTCATTATAGATGGTTGTGAGCCACCATGTGGTTTCTAGGAATTGAACTCAGGACCTCTAGGAAGAGTAAGCAGTGCTCTTAACCTCTGAGCCATCTCTCCAGCCCCCAACTTGCTCTTATCTTAAATTAACCCCTTTATATTAATCTACTTTCTGCCATGTGGCTTGTTACCTCTCAGTCTTAGTCCTGGCACTTGTTTCTTCCTGTGTGCAGCAGAGTCAGATTCCTTCTCAGAGTTCCTTTCTCTTCCGGAAGTCGTGCCTCTCTTTCCTGCCTTTGCTATAGGCTGTCAGCTCTTTATTAAACTTCAGAAAGTGTTGGAGGAAGTGTTTACAAATTATGCTGCCATAAGAGCAATACAAAGTCCGGCCCGGACTCAGCTCTCTGCTGTACAGAAATCAGCATCTGCATAATACAGATACAGGCCTTACACACTGCACAAAAGACGACCCCAGCATGCTCTGAGGCTTTGTGGTTATTTGTGGGAACCCCAAAGTTCTTTGGGAAGTTTGTGGTGTCTGGGTGTTGATGAGTACAGCTCGGACCTCTGTTTGTGGCAACATCCAGACACTCTTGTAGACTGGCCCTTGCCACCGCACCTGACAGTCTGAGGTCAGCTCCTGAGACCACAGGGAGGAGGGAGCCTTAATGTCAAAACCAGATCATGAGAGGCCAGAGAATGAAAAACTAGGTTTTGGGGTGCTGAGCTAAAAAGTTTAAAACCTGTCAGGCTAGTTGACCTTGCTGCTTCTGGGCAGATGCAGCCAGCTGCAGGGAAGAGCTGACCTTGCTGCTCACGAGAGGTTCTGCTGCCAGGAAACCGGTCCTGATGGCCCCCAACTCATAGCTTTGCTCCTGAAAATGGCACAGACTGAGCTCCTCACCCCAAAGCTCATAAACCCAAGGCTGGCCACCCCCCAACCCCCGCCACACAAGAGAGAGAACAAAGAAAGCCAGAACCGTTCAAGGTCCTGACATTTTCCCACAGCAAATCATTTTTGAAATGTAGCATCCCCTTTTCTGTTTTAACCACTAGAAGCTTGCCAGGCTGGAATCCCCTGCTTTGGGCACACTGGGAGGGGACTGGGCCCTATAAATCACCCACAGTCCGGAACTCGGGGCTCTCAGCTAGATGCCAATGCCTTGGTGTCTGTGAGAGTCCCAGCTCAAGCTCATGTGTTTTTCTACAGACTCGACCCTGGTGGTCTTTTTGGGGTCTTGCGAATCAGGCATAATAATCAGAGCTGCGGAAGCCTGGGGTGGGGGCACTGCTCATGGCACTGTGTCTGCCACCCAGTGTCAGGAGTCCTGGTTCATCTACAGAGCATCTTGGGCTGCTGTTTCTGGACCTGAACTCTGAGGCTCGGGATTCCGATGTGCCCCAAACTCTCTCAGTTGAGGAGCCTGAGGATTCTCTCCAGCCCCAAGGGGATCCTCTGCGTGGACCGAGTCCCTGGGGGGTCAGGAAAGAGTCCTCATGAACTAGTTGTCCGACCCCACACATCCCGACCACTTTCTCTTCCAGGTCAGGTTCTTTTCACAGGCAAACTCCACCTCACGGGGGTGGGGGGGGCACTCTCCAGCCCAGCTCCCCTGGTCGAGTTTTGCCCGGTTTACACCTGTGCCCTCTAAGAGGCCCGCGCTGCTCCCAGCCCACACTGGCAGTTCCTCCTTCAGCTTCCTCCTCTGGCCACAGGGCCTTGGCTGTCTGCCTACCAGCTGTTTACCAGTGATGTCCCCTCCCCTAGCAGGCCCCTACAGCCTCTCTCCAGCAGTCTGCTACCCAACTTCCACTGAGCCTCTGGGGGACGTTAGAAGCTTGGAAAATTGAGAACAGGTTTTAAGAATCCTTGGCAAACTCCTAACTGTGTGTTGAAACCCCAACCTTAATGCCTCCTCCTCTAGGATGCCTGTGGGAGCCTCTCCCTCTTTCTGTCCTGTCTCCTTGGACAGGAGGGGTGGGGTGGGAACCTCCTGGTCACTGTCCAGCTCAGCCGTCTCCCAGGACCACATGTCCCATACCTGCCCAGAGCTGAGGCATTTGGAGTGACTGCTGAGTGAACATCCGCGGAGCCCGGTCAAGGTCAGGAAGCTGTGTTGGGGAAGCTGCGGGCAGGCAAGGAGCTCAGGGTGAGGTCACTGGCTTCCAGCAAGAGAGAAGTGGGACAGGGTGGCCCCTCCTCCTCTCGTGAGAGCCCGAGGCCCACAGAGGCCTGGACTCTGCTCTCCCCTCCATTCCTACACCCCTGCCTCTTCCCCTAGGCGCTGGCTGCACATGTGGAGAACTCCAGGTTGGTGGCTTCCGAGGCTTGCTACACTGCAAAGGCCAGGAGGTGACAGCAGGAGGTGAGGCCCAGGGCAGCACACACACACAAACAGGTTGCTGCCTCCGGCTCTGTGGTCGGCAACAGAGTAGGAGGGTCCCAGGAAAGGTTTCCAGGACAACCATCACCTGCATACAGCTGTGCCTTGGCAAGCGGAAGTGCTGTGCTGCGATAGGGGAGGCCTGGGAAAGTGTGGGAGGTAGGAGAGCCTTCCCCTGGGAAGGTTTGGGATTTACCCATTTCACAGGCCAGAAGTTGGAGGCTTGGAGACCAGGGACACACAGGGAGAGGTGGCCAGCCAGGGGCCATGAGCTTTCCTGTCAGAAGACTGTGAGCCGGTTGAAGGTGTTTTATTTGAGTTTTATTGGGTCTCACTAAACAGACCAGTTTGGCCTTGAACTCAGAGATCCACCTGCCTCTACCTGGCAAGTGCTGGCATTAAAGGTGTGCCGCCACATGTAGCCTGGCTTGAATTAGTAATGCTTTTTTTTTTTTTTTTAAATCTACAGTGTTCAACCCAAATGTCTCCACAGATTGCTAGGATGAGGGTCACTGGGGCAAGGCTGCTGAGCTCCTGTTTCCCGCTGCTGCTGGCCCTGCTCCACAAGTCAGGGAGTCAGGATCTAACCTGCACGGTGTCCCCAAGCACTGTGGACTGGGCCCAGACATTCAACGACACTTGCCTCAACTTCAGTGGCCTTGGCCTGTCCCTGCTCCGGAGCCAGCCCCTGAGAGCCAGCCAAGTGCAAGTCCTGGACCTGTCCAGGAACGGCCTGCAGACGCTCCCGGGGGGCTTCTTCGCCAGCCTGGAGAAACTGAAAACCCTGATCGTCACCCACAACCGGCTGACCAGCGTGGACCAGTCGCTGGCCCTGCGCTGTGACCTGGAGCTCAGGGCAGACTGCAGCTGTGGGCTGGGGTCCTGGCATGACCTTCGCCAGAACAACTGCTCAGGGCAGCAGCAGCTGCTGTGTCTCCACCAGGCCACTGGTGCTCCTGGGAACCTCTCCACCTTCCTTCAAGTCAACTGTCCCCCTAGCCTGGCCCCAGGGACCATCGCCGCCCTTGTGGTGGCAGGGACTATCTTTCTGGCCCTGGCTGTCTGTGGATCTGTGCTGGTCTGGAGAGTTCGGCGACACCGGAGAGCCAGTGGCCAGGGCCTCGGCAAAGCCCAGAATGCACAGGATGCCCCAGGACCAGTGACAGGCTTCCTGCCAAGGTACAGCAGCCGGCGACCTGGCCCCAAGGCCACAGACAGGCCACCAGCCACGTCCACGCTGGTCTATGAGAATGTCTTCATTGGCCAGCCAGCGGAGGACTGCTCCTGGTCGGCACCCAGGTGAGTGACCCCAGGCCCCTGTCCAGAGAGGGCAGTTACTCGAATGGCCCTGTCACTGCAGCCCTCAGATGTCAGAGTCAGGGGGATTACTAGGAGTGTGAAGTCAGCCTGAGAATTCCAGCTGTGTAGGCTGTGCTTAGTGAGGATTGCAGGCCTCGCCTCCCTCCTGTCCAGGGGTTGGGAGCTGTTAACCCTTCCTAGCTGTGGAGGAGGCAGGGCGGGGAAGTGGGGCTGAGAAGGGTCAGCAGCCCGGGCTCAGGACTCAGGGCTGTCTGAGTCTCCCTGCTCTGGGGACGTAACCAGCGTGTCCCTGCAACTCAAGGGGTGCTCAGCCAGTTAAGACTGGATAAAGGCTGGCCCCGTCTCCAAGCCCTGTAGGGTGGAGGCAGAAGGTTTGAGGCCAGCAGCAGGGACCACATGAGAGTGTCTCAACAAACCGATGCGGGGGGAGCCTCGGAGGCTGTGGGTTGGTGCGGGCAGGCCAGAAGAGGGAAGGAAGAGGGAAGGGAGTGCTGGAAGCTGAGCCTGGGGATTTGGGTAAATCATTTGCCGAGAACGAGGGTATGCAAATGAGATGTAAATGTTGAAAAGCAGAAGGGGCTGAGGAGGGGGATGGGGAGGCACTGCCGGGCTGACCCTCTGCCTGCTGCCTCAGAGCACCCAATTCCTCCCACTCCTGCGGGGCGAACAGAACCCGTCGCACCGTCTTCTGCCCTCACAGGCGAATGATAATAATGAGAAACTGTTAAAAAGTGAACTCGGGTGGGCTGTGTCAGGGCTGGAGTGTCCCCCCTCGAACCATTCCAGACCAGACTGGGGAGAGGTGAGGCAGGTGGAGGGGGCGGGCAGGACTAGCCTGGGCTACCTGAGACCCTGTCTCAAAACAAAAACAAGAGGGCATGGTGACTCACACCTTTAATCCCAGCATTGGGGAAGCAGAGGCAGGAGCATGTCTGTGACACCCAGGCCAGCCTGGGGTACACAGTGAGGCCCTGTCTCAGGAAGAAAGGAGACAGAGAGACACACAGATCGCAAACAGAAGAAACAAGCCCTACGGCTCGCTCAGGGCTGCATCTTCCTCCGCAGGAGCAGCGCGGCAGGGGACAGGGACTGCTACATGAATTACAGGGGTGCCGACCTGGACCCTCAGCCCCTCTACTGCAACCTGGAGTCCCTGGGGTAGGCCCCACCACACCACGCGGAGTGTGGGTTCTGAGACGCTGAGCCCGGCCTGTGGAGACAGACGCTGGACTCCAAGACTCTGTTCCCTGCGACTGCACGCTGCCAGCAAGCTAAACATCACAGAGGATCCCCAAAGGGGAAGGAGAGTCAGAAACTGAAACCTCCCTCAGTGTGCATACACGTGGTGCTCAATAAATGTCCTGGGACACGTGGGGCCGCTGGCTCTGAGTGTACAACTGACCAAAGAGTCCGATCTCCTTCTGAATTCTCGAACTGTTCTGTTCTTGATGGGTGGGTGGAGGGGGTGGGCAAAAAGAGTTCGGGGCTAGCCTGGGCTACCTGAGACCCTGACTCAAAACAGAAGAAGGGGCCTGCCTGCCCCTCACATACCAGCCACTGAGACTCCCCGGGGGCCTCCCTGTTGTCCTCAGCCCCAGGGACCCCTTCTTCTTCCTTCCCTCTGCCCTTCCCACTTTCCCCTTCCCTCTCCCTGTCCCCCAAGGATCCTGGATCCTGGGGCTGAGGACCCAGCCTGTGTGGCTTTCCCTGTGTCTCCTCATGTCCCTTTTTCTTTCCCTCTGTCCTTCCCACCTGGGGTCGCTGCTCACCAGACAGAGGTGCAAACAAATTAAAAACAACACAAGGGGACCAGAGACCACTTAGGGTCCTCAGGGCTGCCGTGCTACTCTTGGCTGTCAACTAACTGACAGGGAGAGCGGAGGCGCCCAAGTGGTGAGCGGCTTCTGTCGTGCAGTGAGGGCCCCTACCCCCAGACAGGGTTTCTGTGTGTAGCCTGGCTGCCCTGGCCTCAGAGAGATCCACCTGCCTCTGCCTCCTGAGTGCTGGGCAAATGATAATAATGAAAAACTTAAAAAGTGGAGTCGGGTCGGGGCTGTGTCGGGACTGGAGTCTTCACTCAGACATGCCTTCGCCCCTCACCATCCAGACCAGACTGGGGGGTGGTGAGGAGGTGGAGGGTGAGATGGGTGGGTGCAGGGCGGGCAGAAAGAGTTCAGGGCTAGCCTGGGCTACCTGAGACCCAGACTCAAAACAAAAAGAAAGGGCCCTGGTGGCTCATGCCTTTAATCTCAGCACCGGGGAAGCAGAGACAGGTGGGTGCCACCCACCCAGCCTGGAAGTTCCACCTCTAATCCGGGCCTTTGAGAGTGGAAGACACATGCCTTTGATCCAGTTCCTAAGGCAGGAAGACAGGCCTTTGATCTGAGCCACGCCTTCTTCTAGAAATCTCTGTAAGGACATGGAAGACAGAAGCTTTTGCTCTTTGCCTGTTTGCTCTCCCCTTGCTAACAAGTCCATTCTTTAGAGCCTACTTCTTCAAGACTCCACCATATACTGAAGACACCTAGCCTTGTAGCCTAAGGTAACTACTGGATTCTTGGCCTTTCCATTCATAGCTAGACACTGTTAAATTACCTGGACTGCGGCCTGTAAGTCATTCCAATACCCCCCCCCCCCCAACACACACCTTCTACAGAGTCCAGGATTCCTGAGCGCTCCTCGGAGCTCACTGAATTCACCAAGTTATGACACCTCAAGCTGAACCCCAGCCTGCTCACAAGCACCCCTCATTCTGGACGTGAGGGTGGTTAGAGGAAAAATGAGAGCGAAGTCTGTCGTTTTCAGGGGAAACCGAGGCTAGCACAGAGGCCATGCCGGCAGGGTACAGACTGGCTTGCTCACACCCGGGACCCCCACAGGTGGCCAGTCCCTCCCACACCCCCGTCAAGAACCCCCCCCCCCCCAGGACAGCCTGATGGGTGTGTCCTCTGTTCCTCTTCCCAGGGTCCCCGATTGCATGAGCTTAAGAAGGCTTCTTGGAGCCTCATTTTCAAGCCCTTAGCCTCAGCACCTTTGCAAGGTCAGTCTTCTATGCCGCTGGTCAGGACTGTTACAAGTAGCCAGTACAGTCTGGGCTGCTGAGTCCTCCCTTCTGCCTCAGCCTGAGTCCCTCTGGCTTGACCTTACACACCTGCCCTCAGGTGGCTTCTGGCAAGAAGCCACCTAAATCACCTCTCCCTGTTCTTTCACTGAGAATGGCAGGGGAGGAAACACTTCCGCACAGCTCAGGGTGGACACAGGAGCGAGGGGTCTGGATTCAGTAATTCTGACACATACATGTGTTTCTCCTAGAAGATAAAATGTGGGCAAAACTTCCACACAACTTATTATTTATTCTTTGCTCTTTCCATATGAAAGACCAGAGGCAGCATGCATATTTGTGAAAGTAATTGCTGGAGGCAGGAAGGGTATTGACCTCATCCTTGTCAGTGTCAGACTGATTTTGTGAAGTCATGAACTTGATGACCTTGGGCTGCATAGTTTTGAAAAGGTGACATTCCTATAGGAGGGCCCTAAGACAGGTGGAGTCAGACACTGTGACAAATGACAGAGATAGTTACAGGAATGTCTTAAATCTTTAAAAGTTTTCTTTTTTTAATTACATTGTATTTGTGTAATTACCTTGTATTTGAGGGAGAGGGAGCTGTCGGAAGTCATTTCCATCATGAGATCATCTGAATCCCCAAGAACTGAACTCAGGTCATCAGGTTTGGTTGCAAGCTACTTTACCCTCTGAGCCCTCTCAAGAGCCTGAGAGGTCACAACTCTTCTCATCCATCCCTTCACCCACCCCTCCCTTTAGGTGCTACCTTGGGGAAACTGAGGCCAGGGAGGTGAGTATGGTGCCGAGGCCACCGAGACACCCCATAGAAACCAGGCTCACGTTTATTAGCAGAGTTTTAAATAAATACACAATCCATCCACCCAGCCCGACCGCAATAAATTAATAATATTAATAAATACAAATATAAATAGCATCCTGGAAGGGGAGTGCAGGTGACGGCGGGGCCCGGCGCTCATGCGCAGTGGCAGCTCCGGGCCACCAGGTCCTCGTAGGTCTGCAGTGACACGCCGCTGTCTGTCCTATGCATGAGGACCACCGGGGTGTAGCTGGAGGGGACGCAGCACGGGGCGGGCACCCGGTCGGGCTGCAGGCCGTGCAGGCGCGCTTTAATCTGCGCGTGCGTGCTGGCCGAGCGGTAGAGGTGGGGGCACTCGCCCACGCACATGCTCAGTTGCAGCTGGCGCGGGGACAGCACCCAGTCGCTCCAGCCCAGGTCCTCGAGTGTCGCCTGCATAGTCTGCAGGTGACAGCAGCGCCCAGGACCCAGCGGGCAGGAGTCTCTCGGGCGCGCATGCGCGCTGCGGCGCCCCCTGCCGGCGGCCGCCCAGAAGTGCAGTTCCAGCCGCGCGTCTCCAGAGGGCAGCACGGCCGGGTCGGGAGGCGGCGCTAGGCGCAGGCGCAGCGCGGGGCCACGGGGTCCCCGGAGGCTGAGCGCGCGCTGCAGGGGCCCGGTGATGTCCCATGGCCGGGACGACGGCGTCAGCAGGAGCAGGGCTCGGTGCACGCGGTAGGCTTTGGGGAGGCCGTGGGTCAGCGACGTCCGGTTGACGCGGAGCAGCAAGTGACCGTGGGACTCCAGTCGCACTGCAGAAGGAACCAGAAAGCCGGTCGGTCGCTCGCGCCGGTGCGGGTGTGCCCGTGTGCACAGATGTCACACATAAGCAGCCTAAGTCTCTACAGAACCCTGTCTGCCCTGACACTCGCTATGTAGGCCAGGCTGGCCTTGAACTTAGATCCACCTGCCTCTGACTTCCGAGCGCTGGGATAGAGGCGTGCGCCACCACTCTTGGTTTAACTGTCCTCCCAGAACTTGGGGAACGGAACGGAGGCAGGAGGATTGCCCTGAGTTTGAAATCAGCCTGGGCTGCAAAGTTCCTAACTAAAAAAAAAAAAAAAAAAAAAAAGAATAAAGGAAGGAAGGAAGGAAGGAAAAGGAAAGGTAAGGAAGGAAGGAAAAGGAAAGGAAAGGAAGGAAGGAAGCTAGGAAGGAAGGAAGGAAGGAAGGAAGAAAAGAAATCCAAAAGAAAAAAAATAAGGTTGGGAACAGGTCTCACACGTAGCCCCAGCTGGCTTGAACTCATGGCAATCCTCCTGCCTCAACCTCTGGAGTAGTTGGCGTGGCAGAGGACGGCAAGCGCCTGGAGTCGCTCGGCTCCCGCGGAGGGCGAGGGGCGTGGCCCGATCTGCCTGGCTCCGCCCCCAGCCAGGGGGCGGCGTCCTAGCGCCGACGCGCCAGAAGGGGACTGTCACCGGCTTCTCGTTAACAGTCTTGACCGGGGATTGCGTCAGAATATTGATCCTGCAGCTTCTTTCCCTCTGGCCCTCGTCCCTGCCTCTCCCTCCAGGACCCTCTCCCCGCCCCAGCCCGCCCCCGACTCCGTGCGCCTTCAGGAGCGACCCTGACCTCCCTGGACGTCGTTTGTCCAGCTCGGGCTGAGGACGGCTGCCCATTCCCACTGTGGCTGAGCCCGCTGCACGAGGGCCTGCTGGCCACCCCAGAGATGTGGCTTCCTACTCGTCACTGCAGGAGAAACTGAGGCGCAGAGGTTGGGCGAGCCTCGCGGACGTAACTGGTTAGGGGGAGAGGCCGGGTCCCCGGTGCCGCTCACCTTCTGGAGTGAGTACCCGGACCGCCTTGTCGGGGATGGATTCTGAGTTCGAGTCCTCCCGGCTCTGGTTGGCATGCAGCGGCCTCAGCGGGTCCTGGAAGCGACCTCGGGGCTCGTGGGCGTGGAGTTGGGGCTCCGGGAGGGAGCGTCGCGGCTCGGTCACTGCCAGGGCGCCCCCCGGTGACGACCATGACAGCAGCAGCAGCAGCAGCAGCAGGAACAGCAGGAACCTCAGCTGCGAGCCTTCTGGGAGCCGGGCCTGGGGCTCGGGCAGAGCCATGGCGCTGTGTCCCCCTGTGGCTGTGGCTGTGGCTGAGCCCTCTGCCGCCGCCTTTATACCCACCGGACTCTGTCCGCCCCGCCCCCGGGCGCCTGCCAACTCGGGTGACCAGGCTAATCCGGACGGGAACCCCAGGGCCGCGGAGGCAGGGGGACGGCACCTCACCACTCAGGAGGGAAGCCGGCCCCTCCGGTGACCCGAGTGAGGGCTGGCCGCCCCACAGAGCACGTGATGGAGCCCAGGCTGAAGTTCAAGTGCCTTCTTCCTTCCCCGTGGGACCAGGGCTCCCCTCACCCTCTCTCCCTCCCGCCTCTCCTCAGCTCATCAAAGGTAGAGATTAAACAAAGAGCCAAGAAAAAACTAGAAGAGGCAAGTTTGGGCAAATCCCCGTGCACTCCGTGTCCCAGGCGTGGACCTGGTAGCCTTGACCGAGTGCACTGCAAAGGCAGGGCAAGCCAGGGCACACCGCACCGCAGGGCCCCTGTGGGACTCCTGCTGACCCTTCCAAACCTCGTGCAAACAGCCCCTGCCCGGGGAAGCCTTCGCTGGCTTTGCCTCCCCACGACGACTAGGTGCTCACACACTCAGGCCCTGCCGTTGGCCCAGCGCTCGCCTGCCCCGCGCCTGCCTCGGTCTCCCCAGGCCGGGGAGAGGCAAGAAGAAACCTACTGTGCGCCTGCTTCTTCCGATTACAGACAGGAGGCGCGGCCCGGCCCGGCCCGTCAGCCTGCGGCCTGAGCCTGGAGGGGCGTCCGGGTAAGGGCAGGGGCCCGCAGGCCTCCTTCTGGAGTGGGGGTCGTCCAGGCTCCCTCCACACGCGCACGTGCTGCAGGAGGCCTCTGGCCCCGGGTCGCTCCGGGTTAGAGAGCAGGGGCTCCGCGCGGAGGTCCAGGCCCAGCGGCCGGCCCGAGTGAGGGCTGCAAACGGTGCTGGACGGGAGGCACAAGCCAGGGCTGACCCCCCTCAGGCCCCGCGGGGAGGGGCCGGCCTGTGGCGTCTGTGGGGCCTGGGACTCTGGGGCTATTTTCATCTGTTTCCCCCAAGTTGGGGTGTCGGGGTCCGGGCCTGGGCGGGCTGCTGACGTCTGCCCCCGTCTGTGAATCGGGCTGTGGTCTCCACCTCCGGGGGAGTGAGGTCCCCGAGACCCCGAGGGTCTGAAGAGAACCGTCCCCGGGGTGCGGATGGCCGCGTGGATGCGGGCGCGCCGTGGGAGGCCGCGTGGGGACCGCGCCTCGCCTTCCTCTCCTGCTGCCGGGCGGCCGCAGCAGGCAATCCGCCGAGCAGCCGCCCCGTCCACGCGGCGCCGGGCGGTGGTCCAGGCGGAGGCAGACGCTGGGGACAGTCCCTCTCTGCCCCACCTAACCCCGCAGGCCTAGGCCGCAGCCTCAGGCAGCCCAGGTTGCCCCTCTGGGCTCACACAGCCCCTCAAAAAGGTGTCCTCAAGGTTTGGTGCTTAGGGTCTCGGTTCTCCAGGCCACCACGCTGCTGTGTGCACCAGCCACGCCTCAGGCTTCGTCCCGCGGGGCCACCACGGCTGTGTGACCTGAGTACACAGTAGGCGCTCAGTGAATTCACCTGTGCCCTTTGATGCCATTCGAACGCACAGCTGTTTGTAGATAGACACCCAGGCCCAAAGACTCAGGCCCCTGTCAGGGTGTCCTTGGCGGGAGTTAGTCCCCTTGTGTCCGGGGTCTCAGGAGAGTTCCTTCTGCCCCATCACCCTCTCATTCTGTAACCCCACGCCCACAACCTCCTGCTTCAGTCTCCTGAGTGCCAAGATGGCAGGAGTGAGCCACCAAGCTCTTTTCCTTGCTGTATAGTATTCCACCCTCCCTACAGAGTGGCGTCCTGGCCCACGAATGGGTGCCTGTCTCTTTAAGGCCAGGATCAGTCAGCCATTTACTTTATTCACGGAAGGACCTCCGTGGGGTCCAAGGCTCCGTGGGGTCCCCCGTTCTCCGACAAGCATCATCACCCCCTAAGCAGAGATTTCTGCTTCAGGAAACCCTGGAATGTGGCATCGTGCCAACTTGGCTTTCCTTCACCCAGATCCTCCGCTGATGACCTCATAATCGGTCCCGGGACCGGGCAAAGGAGTGGGTGGCCCGGTGTGGCAGCCGGCCAGCCATGACCTCAGCGGCCTGGATCCTGACTTCCTCTCCAGGAGCAGCATTCTGCCCCGCAGGGCCAGCCCCGCCCCGTCAACCCTGGGCAATGTGAGCCCTCTGGCCCTCCTGATCCCCGCAGATCAATTTGAAATGTCATGGGAGGCCACAGAGGACAGGGTGACCTGGGTCATTGTGATGATGACCCCGGGGGTCAGAGTGGTCCTGGGCCCTCTCTCTCTGCCGGGAGCGGAGTAGATGAGGCTTCGATGTCGCTGCAAGCCCATTATTAAATTCTCAGCAGTGTTCAGGCACTCAGAACTCACAAGTTCGGGCAAACTTCATGTCTGCGCCCCTCTTCCTGTATAACCTTAAGGTCCTGAGCCGTGCCGCTTTGCTGCGTGTATTCACTCACTGAGATTGCTTCATTGCTCTGAAGCGTGTGGGACAGAAATGCACTCTTATGCCATTCGGACATCTCCCCTGTCGGGTTCTAGAACCCGGGTTCTATCCCAAAGAAAGCACAGACACTCACATCATCTGCCCCCAACTGCCTGCCAGGCTCCTCCAACGCTGTGCGCTGGTCCTTGGGGCTCTCCCGCCTGCTCGGGGCAGGCCCTCAGAGCCACACCTTAGCGGTCCCTGTGGGGTTTGGAGTGCTTCTCGAGCTTCTGCAGCCAGGCCACCACGAGTGTGAGCAGTTCCTGTTGTGTTGCGTTGGGTGCGTTAAGGGGGAACTGCTGTGTCATGGGTGGCGAGGGGCCCTCTCCTGCCGCTACTGTGAAAGCACTCAGGCGTGCAGAAGTGGAGAGCAACAGGAAAACAGCCCCTGGGAAATGACGCCGGCGGGCCTGGGCTCAGCCAGCGTCACAGAGCTACTTCAAGGCTACTTTTTAGGTAACTGAGGACACCCTGGCTCAAAATTTATTGAAGGCTGGGGCTCTCCTGGTCCAGGGCCTAAGCTCCAATAGAAGGGTGCTGGTAGCTCAGTTGGTAGAGTGCTTAGGTCTTGGTAGATGTTAGGTCTCAGGCTCCTAGAATCTGCCTAGATGGGCTTCTGGCCGGTAGATAAAAGCCAGCATTCCTCCGGGACGTGTGAAATGGGTCTTCCGCCCCCACGAGGAGTGCACCTGAGCTCTGTTCAGACAGCCCTGGCCATGCGCAGCCAGTTTCTCTTCCTCTCCGCTCTGGGCACTTCCGGACACCACTGGGGATCTTCCCCCGTTACCCACAATTCTTCCCTTAACAATGGAGCTGCTGTTCGGCAGGGCTTGGAGCTCAGCGGGTAGAGCTCTGTGAAGCATGCGCAAGGCTATAGGTGTCATCCCCTAGAAGGCGGGGCAGGGGGAGGAATCCACGGTGAGCCTTGGACGTTAGTAAGTTGGAAGCCAGCCTGCCCTACACAGAATGTGTCTCAAAGAGAGAGAGACCGAGACCGAGGCCAGAAAGTAGCCGTGAGGGTGCCTGGGGGCCCATCCCAGGTTGTTCATTTTATTTGTGTGCATACAGGGGTTCCTGCGCGCGTGTCAGTGCGCCATGTGGGTGAAGGTACTTAGGCAGGGCGGAGGCACCGGCTCCGCGGAGCTGGGACACCTGTGGGCACTGGGATTGGAACCCGGATCCTGTTGAGAGCAGCAGTCCCGGCAGAACAGCCCTGTTAAATGACAGGTGGAAGGTGTCACCATGCCTGAGCCAATCCCAGCCGGCCTGTATGCTAATACAGCCCATGTCTCCACCAATCAAAGCACAGCTCTCACTCACAGGCTCTCGGGCCCTCTCGCTCCTCCTGATATGGCCCTGGGCAGGGCGTGGCAGGCGGCCTGATGAAAAGGGCGAGGACACAGGACAAGGTGGTAGTGATGGTGAGGGACAGGCGGGCTTGTCCGGTTCCCAGCCCCCTCAGGCGTTCCGTGGGCATCGCGCTTGCACTGGTGCACAGAAAGGCAGCAAAACACTTATGCTCACTAAGTGGCCCTTTCCAGCCTTAAAGAGGTGGAGAGAGATGAAGACGCAGGAAACTCCTTCTTCCCTGGGAGTGCGTTGGTGCTCGGGACGCTGAGGCAGGAGCATGGCCGAGAGTTCAGTGCTCCGCAGGCTGGCAGGCCTGGGAGGCACCAGCACGTAATACTCTTGTTTGGTTTTCTATTTATAGCTTCTGGCGTTTGGGGTGAATCTCTGCGGAAACATTAACTCATTGGGCAAAAGGAGCAGAGACGTGGTGACCAAACCGGACTCTGCGGCCTGGAAGCCTGTCTGTGAGCGCGGACACCAGTGGGTCTGTGCACATGGGCGCTAGTGGACATCGCAGCCTTGAAAACACACATGCACGTGCGCACCTGGGCTCAGCCCCAGCCTATATGGTGGAAGGAGAGTACCGACCCGTGTCCTCTGACCTTGACATGAACATCACAGCATGTTTACCCCCAAATAAATATATAGAAAAACTTTGTAAGTTGTAGGCCAGCTCAGTTGGCAGAGTGCTTGCACCTCAGCTGGCAGAGAGCTTATAGCTCAGCTGATGAAGAGCTTATAGCTCAGCTGATGAAGAGCTTATAGCTCAGCTGATGAAGGGCTTATAGCTCAGCTGATGAAGGACTTATAGCTCAGCTGATGAAGGGCTTATAGCTCAGCTGATGAAGGGCTTGTAGCTCAGCTGATGAAGGGCTTATAGCTCAGCTGATGAAGGGCTTGTAGCTCAGCTGATGAAGGGCTTATAGCTCAGCTGATGAAGGGCTTGTAGCTCAGCTGATGAAGGGCTTGTAGCTCAGCTGACAGAGTATTTGCCTAGCTTGCCTTGGGCCTTAGGTCAATCCTCTGCCTGCATAAATTGGGTTAGTGGTGCGTTCCTGTCACCCATCCCTGAAGAGCAGAGGTAGGATCAACGGGTTCCTCCTCAGCAGATAGGCTAAAGCCTGGAGCAGCTGTTGAGAGCATCTGCTCCTGCAGAGGACACAGTCTGATTCCCAACCCCAAGTT